TGTCCTCCAGGGTCACCTATTCTGAATAATATTGCATGAGTTCCTTGTTTTTCAATACAGCATAGTATTCCATTGTGTGAATATACCACAGCTTCTCTATCCATTCGTTTGTTGATGGGCACTTAGGTTGTGTCCAACTCCTTGCTGTTGTAAACAAAGTAGCGATGAATGTGGGTGTGCATCCTGTGCCAATCTTACTATCTCTGACACACCTACCCCCATTACCCTAGTCACTGAATCAATCCATTTTCTCAAGGGTCTTCCCCTCCTGCACCATCCCTTCACCCTCCCAAGCATGATGTTCCTCTTCAAGGACTGGTCCCGCCTTGCAGCATGTCCAAAGTATGTCAGACGAAACTTCAGAATCCTTGCCTCCAAGGAGCAGCCTGGTTTCATCCTCTCCAGGATGAACCTGTTTGTTCTCCTAGCAGTCCATGGAATATTCAGTATTCTTCTCCAGCACCACAGCTCAAAGGCATCAATTCTCCTTCTATCATCCCTAGTTATTATCCAGCTTTCTGATACATAGGAAGTAATTGCAAAGACCACAGCCTGTATTAGGTGTACCTTAGTCTCCAGACTAACATCATTGCTCTTCAGTACTTTGGAGAGGTCTCTGACAGCTGACTTTCCCAATGCAACAAACAATTGTTGTTGTTAGGTGCCATCGAGTCGTGTACAACAATTAGTTAAAAAATAAAATCACTGTTTTTTTTTCTGTCAATCTAGAAGTCTCATTTACCCCATTTTATGCTAAGAAACACGTGTACACAGGATCAGAGATACTTGGCGTTGTCACTGTGACTGAAAGTTTGTGGGAACTACTGGCTTGATTCCGGGGCCTCAGGGGGTGTTTCCCCTTGGAGGAATAAGGTACAGCTGTTCAGGAAGATCAAGCCACATGCCTGTAGTAACATGGGACATTCCTCGGATGCACTGTAAGATGAAAAGCAGCAGGTACTCCCCAGCACTTGGGGTGAATATGCACCCCAGATGCCAGACAGGCCTTGTGTGCTGAACAGGCCCTGAGTGAGGGGGCCCGGGGTTGTCCCCCACGGATGCCTTTGCACAACTCGCCCTTTAACGCGTTTGTCCAGCAGGAGTGGGCGCATCCCAGCCTGACTTCTGGTCGTTGCACAGAGCAGGGGCAGACACTGGACGGTTTTCCAGGTGGTCAGTGTCCGGTCTCCATTTGTAGTGCTGGGGGACAGATTCTCACCGTCTCCCTCTGTCTCTGTTCTAGGACAACGTGCTGAACATCATTAACCAGATCATGGACGAGTGCATCCCCCAGGGCCGAGCCCCGCGGGACTTCTGCGTCAAGTTCCCTGAGGAGATTCGACACGACAACCTGGCCGGCCAGCTGTGGTTTGGTGCTGAGGTAGTGGCGGTGGTCTCAGGGTGGTTGTCATCTAAAGGTGCAGCAGAACGGTGCTCACGTGTGCCCGGGACTCGTGCCCAACTGCAACTTTCCCCCTTCAAGAGTTGCATGCACTCGGCTTATGCTTCCTTTTCTATGGAGAGAAATCTACAGGCTTGTTCATTAAAAACCCGCACGTAAAACCGTATGTGTACAAATTCAGGCATGGCATTTCACTTGTGATTTTTCACGAGGTCCTGGGGCCCCTAGAATCCAGGACATAAAAGTGGTTCTACATTCGGGATGCCCATAGAACTGTTTACAGAAGGATACTCCTGTTTGCTCTGGAATCAACTCCAACAAGCCTTCATGTCAGACTACAGATGCACCTTATGGTTTTCAGTGGCTGTGACTTTTGGAAACACAATGATAAGCTTCTTTTTGTATGTGTCTGAAAAGATTCAAACCACCAAATTTTTTATTAGTATCCCAGTAAGTCAAGAACTGAAGCCTTCAGTATGGATTGAAGCTCAACATCAAGAAAACAAAGATTCTCACCACTGAACCTATTGGCAGCATCATGATAGATGGTGAAGAGACTGGAATTGTCAGTAGCTTCAGTTTACTTGGTTCCACAGTCAACACTCTTGGTACCAGCAGCCAGGAAATTAAAAGACGAATTGCACTGGGGAAGTCAGCTGTCAGAGACCTCTCCAAAGAACTGAAGAGCAATGATGTCAGTCTAGAGACTAAGGTGCGCCTTAATCAGACCATAGTCTTTGTGATTACTTGCTGTGCATCAAAGAGCTGGACAGTGACTAGGGATGATGGAAGGAGAATTGATGCGTTTAAGCTGTGGTGCTAGAGAAGAGTATTAGATATACTGTGGACTGCTAGGAGAATAAACAAGTTCATCTTAAAGAGGGTGAGACAAGGCTGCTCCTTGGAGGCAAGGATTCTGAAGCTTCGTCTCACATACTTTGGACATGTTGCAAAGTGGGACCAATCCTTGGCGAGGGACATCATGCTTGGGAGGGTGGAGGGACAGCACAGGAGAGGAAGACCCTCGATGAGATGGATTGATTCAGTGACTGGGGTTATGGGGGCGGATGTGTCGCAGACAGTGGGATTGACATAGGATAGAGCAGGGTTTAAGGACTGCTGTACGTAGGGTCGCTGTGAGCCGCAGGCAGCTCAACAGCACACAACAACAGTCCCACTGCTTGCTGTGCATATTATTTAGTTCCTTTTTGACATATTAACCCTGCTTGACAGAATAGGAGCGTCCTGTGATGTTCTGTAGACGTGTCACACTGGGCAAGTCTGGAGTCAGGGACTTCTGTAAAGGGCTGCAGTGAAGACGTTGAAGGCCAAGGTGTGCATGCTCCAGCCGTGGACTTGCACTTACTCGCTGTGCATCTGAGAGTTGGGCAGTGAATCCAGGTGACAGAAGAACTGATGGCTTTGGGTTTGCAGGACAAGAGTGCTGAGTGTCCCACCGACTGCAAAGAGAACAAACAAACCTGACCTGGGGAAAGTGCAACCAGGGTGCTCCTGAGAAGGAAGGGAGCTGACGCCTGTGTCAGGCATGTTGACGGTGGGGCCAGCGCTTGGGAAGAGACATGCTGAGAAGAGTGGAGGGTCAGCAGAGGAGGGGCTGACCCTCAGTGTGATGGGCTGACCCGTGACTGCTGCACTGGGCTCAGAGACGATGAGGACGGCACAGGACAGGGCAGGGTTCAGATCCGTCGTTCATAGTGTGGCTGTGAGTCCCGATCGACTGGATGGCACCTAACCGTCGTGTTTTCTAGACTGATCTTTGCGGATTCTTGGCAAAGTAGATAGTAGAAAAGAGGAAGGTCTTCAGTGAGATGGATCGATGCACAGAGTGGCTGAAACAATGTCCTCACACGGAGCACTGGCATTGGTTGGTTCTGTGTTAAGAGTTTGCTACGGTTTAGAACCAACTTGATGAAACCAAAAAGCAACAGCTGTGAAAAGAATTGATGCCTTTGAGCTATGGCGTTGGAGAAGAGTGCTGAGCAGCCCGTGGACGGCCAAGAGAATGAACAGCTATGTCTCAGAGAGGGAGCAGCTGGAGTGCTCTTTGGAGGCAAGAATGGCGAGACTTCATCTCACATACTTTGGACATGTTGCTAGGAGGGGCTTCTCCTTGGAAAAGAACTTGATGCTGGGAAGGATGGAGGGTCAGCGAAGGAGACGAAGACCTCAGACAGGTGAACTGACACAGTGACTGCCGCAACGGGCTCTTGCATGTCAGGAAGTGTGAGCACGACACAGGATAGGACAGCATTCTTATCTTTTGTTCATAGGGTCGTTATGAGTCGTACTCGACTCAGTGGTGTCTAACAACAACAAAAACAGCTTCCCAGAAAAGGTGATCCAAATAAACAAAACACTTTAGAGAAACAAAAATGAGGTGGGAGGTGAAGTACTCCCTGACGTCAAAATCTACCACACAGCAGTGGTAACCAAAACAGCATGGTACAATGACGGGCACGTAGAGCAAAGGAACAGAATTGAGAGCCCAGAAATAGACCCAGCTATCTATGGTCAACTGCTATTTGACAAGGAAATCAAAGCTATCAAATGGGGAAATGATAACCTCTTCAACAAATAGGTGCTGGCAAAACTGGACTTCCACCTGCAGAAAGCTGAAACAGGATCCACATCTCACACCAGACACAAAAATCAACTCAAGGTGGATCAGAGACCTGGGAGTAAAGCCCAAAACCATAACATTCATAAGAGACAAACTGGGATCAAGCTTAGAAGTGCTAGTCCAAGGTATAAAGAGACTGCCAAATACAACCAGAAATGCACAATCTAAAGAGGATAAAATTGATGCATGGTACCTTCTAAAGATTAAATGTGTGTGTGCATCAAAAACTTCTTCCAGCCAGGTGAAAAGAAACCTACAGATTGGGAACAAACATTTGGTAATACCATCTCAGACAAGAGTCTTATAACAAGTTTATAGAATACTCCTGGGCCTCCACAAGGAAAAGACTGATAACCCAATTGCAAAATGGGAAAAAGACATGGAAAGAATTTTCACAGAGGAAGATATTCGAGTGGCAAACAGACACATGAAGAAATGGTCAAAATTACTGGCAATAAGAGAGACACAAATCAAAACCACAATGAAGTACCATCTCACTCCAGTATCAGTGGCAAAGTTTAACAGGGCAGCATGTAATAAATGTTGGACAGGATGTGGTGAGAAAGGAACTCTTATACATTGTTTGTGGGATTGTAAAATGGTGCAACCATTCTGGAAGGCAGTTTGGTGCTTCCTTAAAAAACTGAACATAGAAATTCCCTATGACCCAGATATTCCGCTACTTGGAATATACCTTGAGAAAATGAGAACTGAGGCATGGAGACTTGTACACCAGTGTTCATAGCAGCATTTTTCACCTTTGCAAGAACATGGAAATAGCTCAGATGTCCAACTACAAGTGAATGGATTGAGAAACTATGGTACATTTACAGAATGGAATATTATGCAGCATGCAGGAGCAATGATTTCATAAATTATTACTTAACTTTGGAGGGACTGGAGAACATTATGCTGTGTGAATGAACTCAGTCCCACAAGGACAAATATTGTGTAAAACCATTATTGTAGAGTTAAGTATAAGGATCCAAATGGCAGGGGGAGGTGGAAGCAAAAGGATGCGGGTGTCCAGTGGAGGGAGGAGGGATTAATCATGGAGTTGGACAATTTGTTGGGTGGGGGAAGTGAGGGAAATTGGAAGAGTCTATTCTGGAAAACAATGTTCAAATTTTTAAAATAAACTAGTATAAGAAAAAAATTTTAAAAGATAAAAAATATTTTAAAAAAGAAGAAAGGTGACCCAACTGAATGTGAAACAATAATATCATTAATATCACCAGCAAGCAAAATACTGCTGAAGATTGTTCAAAACTGGCTAGAACAGGTCAGAGATGGGGAACTGCCAGAAGTTCAAGCAGGATTTAGAAGAGGCCGTGGCACCAGGGATATCACTGCTGATGTCAGATGGATCCTGGCTGAAAGCAAAGAATACCAGAAGAATGTCTGTTTGTGCTTTATTCACTATGCAAAGGCATTTGACTGTGTGGATCCTAACAAGAAGTGGCTGACATTGAGAAGAATGGGAATCCCAGAGCACTTAATTTTGCTCATGTGGAACCTTTACCTGGAGCAGGAGGCTGCTGTGCAAACAGAGCCGGGAACAGTGCATGGTTTAAGAAGGGAGTCCATCAGGGTTGTATTATCTCTCCATCCCTTTCAGTCTGTATTCTGAGCAAATTGTTTAAGAAGCCGGACTCTGTGGAGAGGAATGTGGTATCAGGTTCAGAGGGAGACTCATCAATAACCTGACACAACCTTGCTTGCTGAAAGTGAGGAGGACTTGAAGCACATGTTGCAGAGGATCAAGGAACGCAGCCTTCGGTGTGGATTACATCTCAATGTCAAGAAAACAAAGATTCCTACCGCTGGACCACTAGGCAACATCAGGATGGATGGAGAAGAGATTGAAACCGTCAACAGCATCATCTTGCTTGGATTCACCATTAACGCCATTGGTACCAGCAGTCAGAAAGTAAGGAGATGCACTGCACTGGGAAAATCTGCAATTAGGAACCACTCCAAATTACCGAGGAGTAATGATGTCAGTTTGAGGCCTAAAGTACGTCTGGTTCAGATCATGGTCTTTCCAGTCACTTCATCTGAGAGCTGAACAGTGAGTAATGACAGAAGAATTGATGCCTCTGGGATGTCGAATTGGAGAAGAGTGAAAAACATTCCATGAGAGCCAAAAGAAAAAAAGCAGCTATGTCCTGGGGAGGGAGCAGCCGGAGTGCTCTTTGGAGGCAAGAATGATGAAGCTTTGCCTCACCATGTTGTTAGAAGAGGCTATTCCTTGGACAGGGACATGATACTTGGAAAGGTCAAGAATCAGTGAAGGAGAGGAAGACCTTCAACCATGTGGACTGACATGGTGACTGTA